AAAAAAAAAAAAAAAAAAAAAAAAAAAACGAGTTCTGTTAATCTGCAGTTTCAACCCATGGTTGTTTTTTCCCAAAAACGAAAATGTTCAGACCCATGCATTTGCATCCCACAAAGAAATCAAGTCCATGTAGATTAACTTTTTTTATTTTTTCTTATTTCCTTTAAACACCAAAGGGAAGCTGTGAGACGCTTACCAGATCGTGTTCGTGCTTAGGAAGTTTTGTGGAGGACGAGGATCAACGCGAACAATGTGAGACTGCCTGCGATTTCGGGGCCCACATATTGTGCCACACGTGCGCCCTTTGTCAGGAGGGTCGTGAAATTCGCCGTAGGCTTCCTCATCCTGGCTTCAATTCACGACCCGTCTTGGTCATGATTCCACCTCCCGTGCAAGCCATGGGCAACAGAGAATAATCGATACAAGTTTGTTCGTTTATGTACTTTTGTACTATACCAACTTTATACATAATTATGTTGATGAGACCCTGTGTGTTTGTGATGTGATGAGTTCTTGGTTTGTATTTTGTCGCGTGTTCTTACAGCACAAGTATAGACTTTTGTAAAATATTTACATTCGAACAAAGTGTGTTTTGCTAGACATGATTCGTTTGTGTAATTTGTTTCGTGTTTCTATGATTTGTTTCGTATCTTTGTTCCTTCTTTTGTAACATTTTTACGAATGTTAATCGTAAAGTTTATGAATCCAGCGTCCAGCGTCCCTCTATCAAGGGCACCAACCAACTGCAACACATTAAGAACACAAAAATTCAAACAGAGTTCTTCATATAAGCTCAAAAGTTCCATCGATTTTCATGAAAAAAGTGTGCAAAAACAATAAACAAAGCAGCTTGATTTTTGTTCCGAGAACAGAACCACACTATATATCTATTCTCCAGGTGCTGACACACCTTGCTTTAGCCTTTCCCTCTTCATCTTCTTCTTCGAGACGGGCTTCTTTTTCTTTGGTGGTAAGGTCTTTTGGGCATATGTGTAAAGCACGTAATTCCCGACCAAGAATAAAAAAAGTAGCCCACCAACTACAAGCAATACAATCAATCCTGGGTTGAACCCTTTGGCCTCAAAATCTCGCCCGAAATTTTTCTGCAGATGAAAAGCAACGTTAATTTTGTACTACACGTGACTTATTACTCATTACACACCAATGTCGAATGCAATAACCGAATTGTGCAACCTTAGATCACGAGTTTGATACCATTGAATCATGGTCTTCAAACGACCCACACGACATGCATTTATCAACACATAATTTGGTAAGTTAGTGGGAAAGTCGATTATAACTTAAAAGATAGTTCCAAATGGCAAAATCGACCATTTGAAGTGGTCAAAAGATCAGCCAGTTCCAAGTCCAAAAGCGCGCTGTGACATTAATAACCCGGCGAACACATTCGTGCAGAAATGCAACGAAGAACACTAAACGTATTAGGTATTTAGGAGTAGTAACTCTTTCGCATCCCCTCGATTTTTTCTGTTTTCAAGCATCATTCACCATTTCAATGTACACCCAACATCAATTCAATTCACCTAGTATATCTGTTCAATTTCATCAGATTAACACAAATTTTTGTGTGTGCGTGTGTGTGTGTGTGTGTGTGTGTGTGTGCAAGCACATTGGAACTAAAGAAATTCACAAATTTAACCACAAATTCACAAGAAATTCAACCCACATCACGAACCAGAATAAGAATCTCACAAATTTAACCAAAAAAACTAAGAGAAAACTGCAGATCTACCAAAATCCGGCGAGAATGAACTGGGATCTACGAGAAGATTAAGGAAAAAAAAAAAGAAAGGAAAAAAGAAAAACGTACCACTCGATCAAATGACGGAGGAGGTAGTTGATAATATTCTTCAAAATCACCTTCGAAATCCATTACCGTTCCTTTCCCTTGGTCTACCAATGGAAATGGCCAAAAGAAGAAGAAGAAGAGAAAACCCTTGCCTAAACCTCAAAGGACAAAGGTATTGGAAAATTGAATCATATGTGCAATTCTGTACAGTTTAATTCAACTATTAAAGTGAAAAACCTTTTTTTTTTTTTTTTTTTTT